GGACTAAGCCCTAGGGAGGTAGAGAAGGGGGAGGCTGCAGAGAAGGAAAAGCAGGAGGAGGAGGAGCGACGCCAATGCTCATTCTCCAGGGTGGCTAGAATGCTGATGGGTGCATTCAACCCAAATCTAATCTCAAAAAGGAATGATTTAAAAAACAAAGATAAAAGAAGTTCTGACCTGTTTCCCAGGCTTTTGCGTTTTCTGCTTGAGGACTTCAGAGGGCAGTGAGCATCAGAATGAGGAGTAGTCCGAGATGTGCGCTACCTCCCCTTTACACTTCCTTCTGGGGTGACTGGCTGGATTCCTGGAGGGGCTGTCATCCCAGAGGGGCCTTGAAGTCTTAGTCTGCTGTCTCCCTGGTGCCAACCAGGCCTGGGTAGAAATAGGCAGACTCCCCAGGAGCCTGACCAACTCTACACCTGGCAGCACTGCCCAGTCCCTTCCCCAAGCCCACACAGCTTCCCCACCTCCATCAGAGTGGCTCTGGGATCGCCCAGCTCACCTCGCACCACCCGCTCTAGTTCTCAGCAATGGACCGGTGCTGGTGTTTGATGACCCACAGTGCTCCTGGGGGAGCCTCCCCCAAGACAGCATGGCCAGCACCTGATAAGGTGCTCTGTGGAGCTGAGCCACTGCTTCTGTGATGCCGGAGGGAGGGGCACTCATGGCACTGGCCACACAGTGGAGCCATCCAGGGGCCACTGAAGACCCTCGCCTGCCTGCTGTGTCTGTCTTGCTCACAGTGCGTGCTTTGGCTCAGGGTCTCTATGCACACTGTCTTGCCGCTTCCATCCTTTCTTACTGTGATCCCAGCACAGGGATAAGCAGGAGTTAATCACACTGTGGATTACTGAATGCAGACTTGGAAAGAGCAACAACGTAAGCCCCAGCTCCTGGGGGGCTGCAGGGTCTTAATGCAATAACCAAGATCCACATGCCCACCCTGCATGTGTGGATTGAATAAACAATGCCCACATCAGGGTTATTTTTCAAACGCATATACATGCAGTTGCAAATAACCAAATATAAATTGATTTTAAACCACTGCTGAATTCAAAGTAGCTTTTTGTCCTTGTGAGTTTTCTTAGCCAGTAAATTCTAAAAACAAAAGCACCAGCACATGAAGAGGTTCCGACTTTAAAATGCAGACTGTGGACTTCAAAGGAGGGAGGCCCTTGATTCCATGGCAACTCTTTCCTTTTTGATGAAGAAAATGAAGTTCAGAGAGGTTAAGAGCCCTGGCCAAGATCACTCAGCTTGTGATGATGGCAGAGCCTGGACTACCCCAAGCTCTGGCTTCAGACCAGTGCAAGTGCTTTGATCCTCTTGAGTCTTCATCCCGCTCCTGCAGAACAGGACCACTGAGAGAACTAAATGAAGAATCTGGCACACTGGTTATGCATGATGCTGGCACACAGCAGGCACTGATAAGTGATACTCACCAATATTCTATCATTATTGCCACTATGTCCCATCGCCTCATGCAATCTCCATCTGTTTGTTTGTTTTTTTTGTTTGTTTGTTTATTTTCTCCGGTACCGGGAACTGAACTCACGACCTTGCGCTTGCCAAGCAAGTGCTTTTGCCGCTGAGCTAAATCCCCAGCCCCTCTCCATCTGTATTTAAGCCATGCAGACCTCGTGAGTCCCCTGCACCCACACACACTTCAGAGTTGGGCAGTGATGTGGTCAGGACCTCTGTCCCCATCCCCACTCCCCAGCCAGTCTGCAGGTGGGACACAGAAACACACACCCCTCAGCACATCCTCCGGGTGAGCTCCCACAGGAGCCCGTACTTTCCTACCGCAGCTCCTCCAGCCCCAGAAGTGCCTTTGCCCAGGCCTGTGTCTTGCACAGAGGAGCAAGCAAAGTGGTTCAGAACCAGGGGGACAGTTTGCTTCACTGGGAGCACCGGTGCTTAGCAATCCTGTCTGTGGATCCAGAGATGGGAGGGTAGAAGGAAGAAAAGGTAGATTGAGAGAAAGATGGGAGGAAGGGAGTGGGAGAGGAAGGAGAGGGGGAGAAGGGAGAAGAGAGGAAGGGAGGGAAGGGGGAAGGGAGGAGAGGAAGAGGGGAGCAGACTGGTGGAAAGATGGAAGGAAGGGAGGGAGGGAGGGAAGGAATGGATGAATTTGTGGAAAGATGGATGTGCTGTTTGCTCGGGACACTCCATGCAAACATAGAGAGAAAAGGGTTGAACCAGAGGGTAAGTAACACGGGTTTTATACTTCAGGTAGATTCCAGGTGACATTTCAGAGGCTAACACAACTGAGCAGCTGTCCTGAGACCTAGGGCCTCTGCCCACCCCCAACCGTTTGGGGTGCCTAGAAGATAAGGACCAGGGCCCTACTGAGGAGTAGAGAGGACCCCGAACACCTCTGCCAGCCCTGGGTGCGGATCACGACGTGCCTGAGCCGCACAGCACACATCAGACGGCCTGGCTGCTGGGGAAGGAGCTCCAGACCCTGGCCCTGTGTGAAGTGGGCTCCCCCTCCCCTGGGACCAGGGCCAAGGTTGGCCTTTAGGGCTGCTGTTCCAGCTGAGAGAAGAAGCTGGAGGCTGCCTGTGGGCTGCCCAAGCCTGGTCTATTTATAGCCTGGACTTTCGGCTTTATTTGTTTTTTTGGCTTCTACATCCAGAGATCCCACGTGCTTTGTTCAGCGAGGCTGCTGGGCCTGGAACGCTGCTGCCGCCTCACACTTCCCCCCCCCACCCCCGCAATGCTAACAGGAGCCCGCTGCACACATGAGCACGTTTGCACACACTCAAGGGGTCACTGGGCCCACCTCTCCCCTGCCTGCCCGGAGCCCGCCTGCCATGCCCAGCCCCACGCCTCACCCCCTCTGCTACCGCACAGCTCTCAATTTGCACAAAACCTCTCCACGCTGTCCATGCTCAGGTCTGATTTTGAAAATCAAATTCTTTTGATGACTAAAGCACCAAGTCCTGCAAAGGGAACCCTGCACAAGTCCCTGGGTAAAAGGAAAATTCCCCCACCCACCCCCATGGGGATTGAACTTAGCACCTTCACACTGAGCTACAACTCCAGCCATTTGCATCATTTGAGACAAGGTCTCTCTTTGTCACTCAGGCTGGGCTTGAACTTGTGATCCTCTTGCCTCAGCCTCCCAGAATGCTGTACCACACCCAGCTAATGTCCTCTTAACTCCAATTTGAAATTGTGTGTGTGTGTGTGTGTGTGTGTGTGTGTTAGTTAAATCCTTTTGATCATTTTTTCCTAGGAAGACAAGAAAAACAACAAGATAAATGACCTCCACACTTGGCCCCTCTGGCCAAGGCTTCCACAAAACAAAGGAGGTAAACAGAGCTCAAAGCTGCTCACCCTGTATCCAATTGGCCTCCCCACTGCCCGGGCAGTGACTGCCAGCCAGGGTGGGGGACACTGGAGAGGGAAGAGCCAGGGCTGAGGGACAACTCCCCTTTGTCCAGGCATGAAGCTCAAAGTGGCCTTCCTGGTGATCCACCAACCACAGCCAGCTGGGCTCTAAGTTCAGCGTCCCCAAAAGAGTCCTGAGCAGAGCTGTTTAGTGACCACCCCTCAGAGCCCTTGCCATTATATTAAAAGACAGTGTGGCCTAAAGGTGAAGAGCTTGGACTTTGGCTTCTCCGGGCCTAGGCTCAAACTGTTCTGCACTTACTGGCTGTGTGACTCTGGGAAAGTTACTTTACCTCTCTGTGCCCCACTGTCTTCAATCTATCAAGGGATGATAACATAAACCCCACTTCTTTGGGTGATTATGAAGAGTGAGTGGAAATACACACATAAAGTGAAAAGCATAGTGCCCAAGTGATTAATAATGAAGATAATGCTGCCACTTTTATTTACATCTTACTAAATCGATGACAATATGTTTCTATTTATAGCAAACTATGACTAACTGGCAGCACAGCACGGTGCCAGCTCCCAGCCTCCTGCAGCCGCTCCACAGTGGCCTGGTCACTGCCCCTCTCTCTCTACACCCCAGACATTCATTGTCCACCCTGAGCTGGGCTGGGTGTGTACCTTGCCGGGCCCCACCTGCCAGCCCAGGGTCAGCTCACAAAGTATACACTCTAGTCCAAGGACTGCTTCCCTTATCCCTCCAGGGATGGGCTGTCACTCCCTGGAAAGGACCTGAGAAAGTCTTGCCAGCCATCCAGCCATTTAACAATGAGCCCAGAGAGGGGAGGCAACCTCCCCTAAGACACACAGCATGGTAACAGCAGAAGATCCTCTGTATCCTGAGGTCCAGCCTTTGAGCTTGGCCTCCAGACTAATTTACAATGGAGCTAAAATAGCAAAGGCTCCCTGCTCCTCTGGAGGCGTCTGACAGCCACCAAAGCTGCAAGAGCCACTTCCCGTTGTCTTCACATTGTGGTTGAAAGCTGACCTCTCTCTCCCCCTCACAGGAGGAGACTCCAGTAGCTGCCAGAGAAGACGTGAAACTGAGCTGGAGACACAGGAAGCTGTGGGGGACGTGGAGCAAGGCAGCCGTCCCCACCTTCCGTGAAGAGATCATGCGGTGCCAGGGCCTTCAGCCCAGGATGCCTCTCCTGCAACCAGCGCTGGGCTGTCACCTCACTTTCTGGGGGCATGGAACACACGCAGGCAGCCTCTCGCCACACTGGAGCTGGGTGCTTGAGCACCGCGGAGCCCCCAACGATGCCAGCAAGCAGAGCTGTGGGGACCCCTTCCCTGGCCCCTTCTGTGGCTCCAGGCCAGGCGGAATGCTCAGAGGATGTGAACTAGCACCTGACTCGGAGGAAGGAATGTTGGGGACACAGGTACGACAGGACTGCCGGGCAGCTGCCCCTCACTTCTCCTCCTCCCGGTCCAGTGCAAAACACAGGACATCATTCAATATCACTGGACCTTGCACGCTGCCTGCCATATCTGTCCTGCCCCCCCCCAGCCCCCCGGGTGTGCAGGGAACCAGAGCCACCTCCCTGGAAGAAGAGGGCTCCACCCGAGCTGTGAAGGAGGGACACTGTCCCACCTACCTGTGAGCTCTGCAAGGCAGCCACCTGCAGGTATCATTCCTGTGGGCACCAGGAGTTGAGGGAACTTCTGTAGGTCCAGAGCAAAGCAGAATGTAGCAGGAAGAAGGTGGAACAGACAGTCTTTCCCACAGAGGCTTCCTGGCTCTTGGTGATTTGGGGTCACTAGAAGCCCTTTGGAGACTGCAGGAGCAGAGGCCAGAGAGAGGCTGGCCTGGGCGGGCGGCTTCCTGCCAGCCGTGAGTTGGACAAAGCATGAAGCCCACTGACCTTTGGCAGCAGCCTGGGTTAGATCTCGGGGCCTGGATCCTGGCTGTGGGAAGAGCGATGGCTGAGCCCCGCCCCCGCAGTCACATGCATGGGCACCCCACACACCAGCCAAATGGCAAGGGCCTCTGCTAAGAGGAGACGCAGGCAGCCACCCTATCTGGGAGCTGCCTTGGCCAGGAGCCTTCATAGGAGCAGCAAACCATGTCTCAGACACTGGGTGGACCTTGTTTAAGTCTGGAAAGAAAAATAATTCTGAAAGGAACTGCAGCAGGCTGCCAGTGGCAGGGTGCGGGAACCACAGAGCCCAGCACAGCCCACAGCTCCCCACCCCCTGGGACCCAGGAAGCCCAGCAGCCTGGCCCCAGCTGCCCACACAGCTTCACAGAGTCTTCCAGCCCCCTACCGGCCCTGCAGCACTGTCCCCTGGGTGTCTGACTCCTCACAGCTACTGACAGTTGCCTGGGTGAACACAGCACTCATTCTTGAACCTGCTGGTTGTGGGCTTCGGACCTTTCTCCCCACAGGCCTAGGGATAAAGCAGGTTGGACCTGGCTATCACCGCCCCAGAGGCCTTTGTGAAAGGGGACAGGGACAGCCAGCAGTGTGGGCAAGAACTGCCTGAAGAGGGAATGAAAACAATGGTTGAAGCCCAGAAATCCCCTCCCACCTCCACCATCTGACTTCGGGGCCAGAGGCAGCCAGATAACTGTCTCCCAAGGCCTCCACCCCAGGCTGCCAGAACACAGCTGGGAGCCCAGCCATCACCCTCAGGGCCTCACCATTCTTCAAGAAATAATCCTAATGGATAAACATTCTATTCAAATTGTGGTGCATCTAGGCAATGGAATATTATTCAGAAATAAAAAGAAATGAACTACCAAAGCTAGGAGAAAACTTAAGTATTGTTCAGTGAAAGAAGTTTGAAATTTGAAGACTACATACTGTCTGATTCCAACTGTAGGATATCCTGGAAAAAGGCAAAGATGTGGAGACATTAGAAGTTCAGTGGTGAGCTGGGCATGGTGACACAATCCTAGCGCTCTGGGTGTCTGAGGCAAGAGGGTTGAAAGTTCAAGCCCAGCCTGGGAAACTTAATGACTTAGAGATATCCTGTCTGGAAATAGAAAAAAAAATTTTAAAGGCTGGGGATGTAGCTCAGTGTGAAGACACTGGATTTAATCTCTAGTACCATAAAAAAAAGATAAAACTCAGTGACTTTCAGGGATTAAGGCTAGCAAAATGATTTGGTATGACATTGTAATGAGGGTGGACACATGACATTATGCATTTGTCAAAACCAATAGAATGTAGAACGCAGAATGAACCCCAGAGTAAACAATGGACTGCAGTTAATATATGAAAATTGGTTCTGTGGGAAGGAATGTACCACACTAATGCAAGATATTAATAATGGAAGAAACTGTGCTTGTATGATCGGGGGAAGGGAATATGGGAACTCTATACTTTCTGCTTAATTTTTCTGTAAACCTAAAAGTGCTCTAAAAAGTAAAGTCTAATAATTAGTCATCATAATAATTAAAAAGTGGACACAGCACATATTTCATTATGTCTCTACTACTTTTGGTGTATTCAGATGACAACTAGCTGCTTAGCTAATTTCTTTTTTTGGGGGGGTTTCCGGGAATCGAACTTGGGACCTTGGGCTTGCCAGGCAGGCACTTGTACCGCTAAGCTATATCCCTGGCCCTGTCTAGCTAATTTCTAGAGATAGTAAACTATTCGTCTGCAAAAGGGCTTTTCTTATGGATGGTTTGTCCACCCAGAGCCTATTCCCACTGCCCCATTTATCAGAGTGGCCCTAACTCTAGCCCCAGCCACCCCCAAGGCCAGGGAGAGATGCCTTGGAAAGCCCCTCCATCCACACCAGCCCTCTTGGATCCTGCCCCCCGCCCCTGCCACCTCTCCTTCCCCATGGAAGCCAAAGTAAAGGGTCCCCACCAGGCTTCCCCCTTGTACCACCCCGAGGGACCCTGGTGCCACCCATGTGGCCCTGTGTGGTGTGACCCTTGCCCACTCTTGGCACCTATGGGTAACATTCCCAGCAGTGGTGTTAGTCTCTCGGTCTGTTGGCTTCATCAAACCTGCCTCATAATCAGACCTACATTTTAAACTGCGCCCAAGTAGGGCCAGCACAGAGCGTGATACAGGACAACTTGTCTACCCAGAACTCCAATGTTGAAGGTGCCCTTGGCTTAGTTTTCAGGTAGCATCAGTAGCTCCTGAACAGCAGAGGTTTCGACCAGTAGAATAATAATGAAATCTGTGCCCTCTGGAGCTAGGGATAGAGCCCCCTTCCTTTATTTCCCAGATGAGCAAACTGAGGGCCAGACAGGGGAGGGGTCGCCGCCACACTGGTGAAAGGCCCAGCTTGCACTCGGCTCTGTGCAGAATGCCACAGAAGCGGGGCACAGCTGTGTCCCACACCCTGCCATTCTGGAGGGTGGAAGAACTTCAGCCACCCACAGCTGCCAATCTTCATTTGTGCTCCCAGGCTTAGCAAGTCACTTCCAGCCTTCTCCCGAGGGTCCCAACCTGGCCCCAAGCGCAGGAAAGAAAGCCTAAGGCCAAGAGATGACACTTCAGCTCTGACACTTGGGAGGGTCCCTGGGGCACAATGCCGCCCGCCCTCCCGCTTCTGCAGGAGCGATAAAACCAAGTGGCTATCCTCAGCTGAGCTCTCACAAGAATGGGGAGAGGGCCACCCCCAAAATCTGACGGAGCTGACCAGGATGCAGCAGAGAGGACCAGCAGTCACATCAGGTAAGGCGAGGCATTAGATAGCGGCGGCGTGAGTCCCAGGCCCAGCTGCAGTGGTGTGGGCTATGTGTCACCCTCGGGTCTGTCTGTCGGCCGCTCGGCCGGATTCCTTATGACTTCTGCCAGACTGATGAGGTATGGTCACAAAATATGGTGAATGTTGAAATTTAAAAAAAAAAAATTATTACAGTAGAAAGCACATTGCCATTAATCCTCCTCAGAATACTCTTGCTCATTTGAATGCTCTTGCCCCATCATTCTCTGCAATAAGTCTTTTACTGTAATAAGTTTTTTTAAATTTAGACTTTCACTGTATTTCTTGATCACCCTTTGCACATCCCACTTGGACCATATGTCTTGATAATATTGTACATCAGTATATCATATATGGTCGTTCGTTGGACAAATGTTCTTTGAGGACCTAATGAAGGAGCCTGGCACCATTTGAGGGACTGGAGATATGGAATAAACAAAACAGCCAAAAATACTCACCTCTGTGCCTGGGGCTCTCCGTCTAATGTTACCTACTTATGCCACACTTTTCCATTCGCTCTCTTTTTGAAGTAACTTTTATTTTAAAAGGAAAATCCATGTTGTTATTCCAGATGAAAATTCAGAATTTGATTTTCTGATTCTGTAGACACAAATATCATTAAAAATCAAAGTCTTCAGGGCTGGAACACAGCTCAGTGGTAGAGTGCCTGCCTAGCATGGGCAAGGCCCTGCGTTCCGTGCTTGGCATGGGAGGGTCAAGGTCTTTAAAGTCCTGCTCCGTGCTCTTGCCTGTTGTTACGGTTTGTGTCTGGATGTTCCCCCAAAGCCTCCTGCGGTCATGGGGATCAGGCTTTTCGGAAGTGTCTAAATCTAGAGTTTGTGACTGCTTCATTGTCTAGTGCTGGGACTGGCAGTGTGAGTGCCACACTCACCCTGGGCAGGTAGCCTGCGTGCAATATAAGGGAAGGAAAGAGGCTTGCTTCTCCCTTTTGTCCCTTTTGCCCCCTTTATTTTACCCCTTTTGGCTCTGTTGCTTTTGCTGTCTTCCACCGCCACAAACTGTTGCCCCCATGCCATGCCACCCTGCCTTGGAGCTAACTGATTATGGACTGAAACCTCCACAAACTGTGAGCTAAGTAAACCTTTCCCTCTTTAATTTTGGGCATTGAGTATTTTGTCTCAGCAATGAGGAAAAAGTAACTGAGACACCTGTGAACGTCTGAATCCTGAAGAATGCTCTTGTTTGATTAGAAACAGAGTTCTATTTTTCAAAATTTTAAACACAGAGTTACAAATGACCCAGGAATTCCACTACTAGGTATATACCCAAAAGAACTGAAAACAGATATCCAAATACTTACACACTAATTTCGTAGCGGCACAATTCAAAGTAGCCAAAGGATAGAAGCAACCCGCATGTCCATCAAAAGCTGCAGGAATAAAATGATGGGGTCTATCCACACAATGGACTATTACTCAGTCATAGAAAGGAATGAGGCACTGTCACCTGCTACTGTATGGATGAGAAACCATCAGGCAGAGTGAAAGAAGCTAGATACACAAGGTCACTTGTGTAATAACTGTATTTCTATGAAATGTTCAGAATAAGTAAATCCAGAGACAGAAGGCAAAGTAGTGGTGGCCAGGCTTGGAGGAGAAGAGGCAGGCGTAGGGGGAGGCGTGTGCAGTGACTGCTTAATGAGGACAGTGTTTCCTTTTGGGGTCGTGAAATATCTTAGAACTAGCCAGAGGTGACAGGCGCACAATGCTGTGAATGCACTAAATGCCACAGAAAAGCCACACTTTATAACAGTTCATGGTTAATTTTATGTTATTTGAGTTTATCTCATTTTTTTAAAGGATAGGGGGAGAGTTACCAGTATTAGCAAGGTGTTAAAAATATACCTCAGCCAAATGAAATTTTCTCCTTAATGGGATAAAAAGTAATGGAAGAGAATTGTAGTTTGCCTTCTGATCCCCTATACTTTCGCCTGCACTGAATCACTGGGTCCTCACCAAGGGCTGCAGGCAGGAAGGGGTGGTTCCTGTCCTCATCCACCAGGGCTGCCCTGCAGGCCAGATGGCCAAGATAAGGTGGTGGCAAGGCTACTGTCCCCTGAGGCCTCTCTCTATCTTCCCATCCTCTCTGTGTGCATTCTGGTGTCTCTGTTCCCAAACTTCTTCTTCTTGGAAGGACAGCAGTCAGATTGAATCTGGGTCACCTGTCTAACAACCCTATCTCCCAATAGTCACGGTTCGAAGTCCTGCAGGAAGGACTTCAAACTAGGAAGTTGGTGGGAGGTGACACAACCCAGCCCGTAACAATGTCCCAACTCACTGATAAGAAGAAGCAGAGGATGAGACAGCAGCTCAGGTCATAAAGCTGAAGGGAAGACAGGGGGCCTAGATCCCGATGCTTAGATGTCCCATCCATCCCTCGCTGCCCACTGCGTCCAGTGGTATGAGTGGCTGCAGAAGCCACTTGGCTTTTCAGCTTCCCTTAAAGGGGGGAAGCTGAGCATGGTAGCACACACTTGTAATCCCAGCATTCAGAAGATGAGGCAGGAGGATGGCCCCAAGTTCAAGGCAGCGTGAACTACATAATCAGACCCTATCTCAAAAGAAAGAAAGAAAGAAAGAAAGAAAGAAAGAAAGAAAGAAAGAAAGAAAGAAAGAAAGAAAGAAAAAAACTCGAGAGGGAGAAAAGACATCCTCACACAGGTGGTCTTGTTTCAGCAATGGACACCGCATGGTCTCAGCTCCCAAACTGGCACAGAAGATCCCACCTTGTCTCCTGCTCAGGCCCACAGCCACAGAGGACTTCCAGCTCCAGTCTAGCGTCTAGAGAGACTGTGTGTGATTAACTAATGAAAGCTAAAGAATAATGTGTCCTCAGGCCTCCGGAGAAGGCCGCATGCAGAGAAGGCACAACCTCAGCCGAGGCTGTTGGTTTTCCCCAGTTTGTAGCTGGAGAGTTATACCACGGCTGAGATCAGAACTCAGAATTGCGGCTTTGTTTAATGTGCATCTTTCTTCTGCAGGCATCAAAGAGATTAATTTTGTAGAGTAAACAGACTTCAAAACGGGATGTAGGCTCTGAGCATCCGCACCTGATTTGGCGGTCCTTAGGCGGCTGCCGAAGCCCTTCTTATTCTGTGTGCTGAGATCTGAGATGTGCGCGGTGGGCGAGGGAAGTGAGGAGGCCCCGGCCCCTCCTGCTACCAAAGCAGGGCCCAGGGGCTCATCTGCCTGACAAACACACAGTCCCTGCACAGGATGGACGAGGCATCTCCCTCTCCACTCCTTGCCACAGCCAAGTCTCTGCTAAATCTAAGTCCAAGGCAGTGCCCTTTGTACCCGGGACATCTCAAAGGCGAGATTCCTTGGAAAGATGCTCACCAGAGAGGCGTCTTCTTCAGGATAGGTTTGGAGGCTGCCCCTTTTTTCCACAAATGGCCCCTCCACTCTGCCCACACCAGAAACGGGGGCCTCTTCCAGGTCTCTGTGCCCCTTGCAAGCCTGTGGTGTTGACACCTCGTGCACTGCTTGTTTCTTTTTATTGTTTTTTTTTTTCTGGTACGGGAATCGAACTCACGACCTTGCGCGTGCCAGGCAGGCGCTGTACCGCTGAGCTAAATCTCCAGCCCTAACACTGCTTGTTTCTGCCGAAGCTGAACCCTACCCCGCCCCCGCTCCTGCTCAGCCCCTACCAACAACACCTGTGGCCTCCATCTTGAGCACACTCTCTCCCACCCAGCGTCCTCCCCAGCCAGCTCCTCCTCCTCCTTCAAAACCCAGCTGGACCATCCCCTCCTCTGGGAAAGCTACCTTCATCAGCCCGCAGGCTCCAGTAAGACAGCAGCTGCCTCCCGTGCTCTGTGTATGCTCCCAGGACAAAGCGCAGTTATAAACCCAGAATGAATGAATGAACGGATGAGAAAACCTGGCCATCCAAGGATAGCAGGCATTTACAGAACATCATCAGAGACCCAGAGAGCACACTCACTGGCTGCAGGACTCAGTACCTTCTCCCACCACCCTACAGGGCATCAATTTCCTGGACAGCTACCGGTGGGGTCACGTGACCCGCTGGGTATGGGAAAAGGTGGCAGGGTGAGAGAGAGGTGCAGTCACCCCAGGGCTGCCATCCCTTTGTCCTTTGATGTAAAGCCACTCAGAGATTCCCTGTGACCAATGAAGGCATTGCAAGGCTCCTCCTCCAATAGGGTCCTCTTGACTGATTATTTCCCAAAGGATGAAGGGCTTTCTGGGGAACAGTCCCTCTCTTCTCTGTTCAAATGCATCTTTTAGTAATGGGAAGGAGAGGAATGGTCACAGCCCTGAAAAACAGCTCCAGGCACACGTCTTTGAATAGAGTTATAAAACGCAAGTTGTACCTGGGTGTGGTGGCACACCCCTCCAATCCCAGCATGCCGGTGGCTGAGGATCATGCACTCAAGCTCAGCCTGGGCAATTTAGCAAGACCCTATCTCAAAACTAAAAAATAAAAAGGCTGAGGATATAGCTCAGTGTAAAAACCCTGAATTCAGCCCCAAGCATGAAAAAATATATATATAGCAATTCTTTATAAGCCAAATCTGAGCTATTTACTGTCAGCCCCTCCTAGGAAGGAGAAGAGGTGACCCCGTGGCAGGAGCCAGCTGGGAAAACACAGTGCCAGACCCAGAGCACTGAGACCCTCTCCCATTTCCCACCAGAGGCATTAAACCTCTAAAGGGCAAATGGAGCTTTGCTTTGGGATCATAGTGGTCAAGAGACACCTGCAGAAATAGGCTCGGGGCCTCCTTTATGTTAGCAGGACTTAGGAAGAATACTACTTCCCCCTCCACTCTAGTCAGCAGGCCCTGGCTGCTCTCCTCCCTGGAATAGGGACAGCCTGACTCAGTGGTCTGCATGTGCTTTGCATCCCTGGACAAGCCATAGAGGGACCAAAATAGGCCAAGAGTGGGCAAAGGGTCCCAGCAATTCTCTCACAAGTGGGGAGCGGCAAGGCCCTACCACCATGCACAGGGTCATGTACTTCCTGCCCTTCCCTGTATTTCCTGGACTATGTGCCTCTCCCTAGGGAGTTAAGTTCCTGGAACCAAGAATTATATGTTCCCTGTTCACACTAGCTCGGTACCAAGCACATGTGGGCACCAGCACACACTGCTGAATAGGTGAATGAGGGATCTTGCTTGATCTAGAGCAGCGGTCTGCAACATTTTGGCACTAAAGGCAGGTATTGTGGAAAGCAATTTTGTCATGGACAGGGAGAGGAGACGGATTCAGAAGGATTCAAAGAAGCACACAGCCCAGGCCCCTCGCGTGCACAGTCCAGTGTTCACGCTCCTAGGAGAATCTAAAACCCCTGCTGAGCTGATGGGGTGTGTGGAGCTCAGGCAGTGAGTCAAGTGATGGGGAGCAGAGACAAATACAGATAAGAAGTTTCTCTCTGGCTTCCTCTGCTCACCTGCTGTGCAGCCTGGTTCCTGACAGGAGGTTGGGAACCCCTGATCTAGTGGAAGCATAGTGAAATAAACCCTGTTGAGTTTCGTTTGTTGCGTGTGTTGTGTGTGTGTGTGTGTGTGTGTGTGTGTGTGTGTGTGTGTGTTTTAGCAGTACTGGGGATTGAACCCAGGGCCTTTCCACATCCCCAACCCTTTTTGTTGTTGTTGTTTTCCATTTCTCTAAGTCACTAAGTTGCCCAGGCTGGGCTTGAACTTGTAATCTTTCTACCTCAGCCTCCCAAACTGCTGGGTTTATAGGTTTATGCCATTGTACAAGGGTAATCCCTGGTTGAGGACTGGAGCCCCATGAGGTACAGAGCAAGGAGCACCCATAATAAGCAGCCTTTCCATGTACCCAGGATCACTGCTGGCCCTCGGGCAAAGATAGAGCAGGAGCCTGTGCTGTGGGCAAAACAGGAAGTCCTGGGGACTTGGTTTGGCCAACAGTAAGGACTGGACTAAGTACTGGGGGGACAATTAGAAAATGAAGACCCCACCTCCAGCTGTTTATCAGACCCTAAGGACCAGGGAGCGAGGGGATATGAGCTGCTCCAAAGTCTCCCAAGTAGAAAAGGGCAGGCCCAGAATTATTAGGGCTTGAAGCTGATACATATGTAGGAACTCGAAGAAAACCACCTTGGAATTTTTATTTTTATAATTTTTATAAAACCTCAGGACAAGTGAAGTCCTTCCTGGATGCCTCCTGAGGCAGTAAAGCTTCCATTCCTTGTGCATCTCAGGGAACCCACCCTGTGCAGTAGAGTGAGGCCCTTCTCTCTGCTTTTGTGTACGTTAAACTTCTCCATAACGAGTTTATCTTGAAAAGTTGCTGGCATTGTATTTCTGCTGACCTTGTTCTCAATTCTGAACAAAGTTTGTTTACATCTTATAAGTCGTTACTTTAAAAAGCAGAGATGAGG